CGTCCCCCGACCCGGGCCCCGTGCCTGCCCCCAAGCCAGCACGGCAGCCCGTCGTGCCCGCGTTGTCGAGTGTGCGGCTGTGCTTGGTGTCGACCCAGCCACTCTTCCACCGCGGCCTCTAGACCACCGGGTTTGGCAAAGCCACGTAGACGTGGCGCCCTTGCCGGCCATCGCCGCGCTGCCTGACTGCAGGTCCGTGGTGCTGTTTCCGCCGCCCCAGCTGCCCTGGCGGCCTCGCCTTCCGCTCTGTGTACCCTCCACCTGCCCACCCTGTGTAACAACCCCGAAATAAAGGTTGCTTCGGGACCTTTCTGAGTCCCACATTGTCAGCCGTCTTGCTCTCACGTCCCTGGGGCACCGCGTGTGCAAATGGACGCAGGGGACGGCGCCCGGGCTCGGCCCACGCGGCTGCGTTTGTGCCGCTCAGCCGACCCAGTCTGCGGGGTGCTCACTCTTCTCGGGGCGCTGCCTGTGTCAGGGACTCCCTGAGGGCTACAGAGAACACCCCACAACGCCCGTTGGGCGAGGGGAGAGCACTTCACAGTGCATTTCCGAAGTCAGTCGGTTAGCGCCAGCCTAACTTCCCGAATCAAACCCTGTTTCAGAGAGCTAGTCTCCAAGATACGCTCTGGCTTTGGTCTCCCTGGGACAGAGCTGGCCCTTGAGGACCCAACTCAGAATTTGTTTCTACCACCTGAAATTCAGCCTCACATTCAACTTTCTCTGACGGGGAGTCCCACGTAAGGAAAAGCACCCCACCTACAACGCGACTGTGGTCCCGGGGCTGGCTGGGATGAGGGCCTCTGCACAGCACGCCTGGGGGCGTGAGACCTGGCGCCTGCAGCCGGGAGGGTGGAGAAGCCTGTGGGGGCATTACTCAGGTGGTTGGCACTCCGGGCGGCTGAGGGCTCAGTCCTGCCCAGGGCCACTGAGGGGGCTCCAGCAGGAGCCACGGAGGTCCAGCCAGCCAAGACATGGCGAGGCGAGCGTGTACCCGCCAGTTCCTGTCCCTGCTCCTCAGGGCTCTGGGGATGGCTCCCTCAACTGTCAGGTGTGCCCGCCGACACCCCAGGAGGTTGAAGGGGGAGCAGACGCACTTCCGTCAGGCTACCCCCGGACATAGCTGGGTGCCACAGCGGCCTGGGAGCAGAATGTCGGCCAAGGGGACGCGGGGGCCAGGAAAGACGTCCAGCCCGCAGTCCTCGGGTGCTCGCAGAGGCCGCCGTCCAGTGCGCTGCAAGCCCCACTGTCAGGAGGTGGGGGCAAAGGCCGTCACAGCCCTGAGGACAAGACGCCTGCTGGGTGTGGCCCACAGCCGGGCGCCCACTGTAAGCATGAGAAGGATCCACGGTACACAGCACCGGCTCAGACGAAGGCCTCGGTGCATAGTGGGATTGAGACGCGTAGACCATGAAGTACCAGCTATAACGAAGAACCGCGATCCCCGCGTCTTGTGCAGGGAGCCCACGATCCGCTGCAGGTGTGACAGCAAGATGCGCTCGCCCCAACCTGAGCTTCAGCCCTCTGGACCGCGTGAAAACTGTCCTCACAGACCCTCGCACGCCACAGGACAGAGATTCCCTGGTCCCGCTTCTCAGAGCCAAGAGTAACCAAGATCCCGAGAGCTAAGAGCACGGGACCCATGAACAGCACCCCACATTTCCACTTCTGCCTCCCAATGATGGGACGTGCCTTTCAGCTCCCCCAGCCCCACAGAACCCCCGGGAAGCCAGCCTGGGTGCATCTGGTAGCCGGCTGGCTAGAGGCCCAGGTGAAGGCCCAGCTGCCTGGAGAGCTGCACCCACCCTCAACCCAGGGGTCCTGGTAGATAAGGGTGCCCCAGGTGGTGTTCTCTAGTGGGCTGGGCCTCCAGGTACCTGCACTTCATGGTGACACTAGAATTAAATTAGTGACTACATGTGGAAGTGCCTAAAACTGCCGGCCCATGTGCACACAGGTGGGTTGTGTCCTGGACCTCGAGGTGAGAAGTCAAGAGAACCCCTACCAGGTGGAGGGTTACAATGTGTTCAAAAGAGCTATTCACACACACCGCGCAGGTGACAGGTACATGTGTGTGTGTGTGTGTGTGTGTGTGTGTGTGTGCACATATATATATTTTTTAATTTGCTATAGGGCATGTGGGCTTTCTGGGTGTGGGAGGCTGTGCACCAGCGAATATCGCCAGTTTCTGAGAGCAAACAATTACACGATGCCAAAGGCCATGATTGGCTCCCATTCAAAAACCTCACCTTCAAAACCATGCTCTGATTGGCCACTTCCCATAGCAAATTGGTGAGCTTAGAATCCCTCAAATTTGCATATCCGGCACCTCATGATTGGTCCACAAAAGCAACCAATCATAACCCACCTTTTACAATCCTTCATTCAACCAATCACTGCCCACCACCATGTATATAACCGCGATCCCTGGGCCACAATCTCCAGACGACCTGGATGACCCTGAAGAGTTGTGATACCGCGTCGTCTCTGGAAGACTCTGAAGAGCCGTGACACTGCATCGTCTCTGGATGACCCAGATGAGTTGTAACACTGTGTCGTCTCCGTGCTGCCCACAATAAACCAGACGACCATGAAGAGTTGTAACACTGCTTCATCTCTGTGTTGTAACACTGAGTCCTTCATCCCGTCTCTCACTCCTTTCCTCAGGAAACCTGTTCCACTGTCCCCTGGGTCGGGACAGCTGGGGACTAAGACAGAAATAGGTGGGAAGAGAAAACGAAAGATCACTTCCAAAGAGCTAGTCCTGCTACAGTCCCCTTTGCTCCATTCTCCTCTCGGGCTTTTGAGCACACTCATGCCCTGCGCGTGTTTCAGGTTGCCGAGTCTGAGACTCCAACTGTGCAGTCGGCCACGTGGGATCCAGCCGCCTTCACCCCCACACTCCCTGGCTGGCCCACTGTTCAGCTGTTTATAATGAGCGCCGTGACATGCTAGACACAGAGAGGAAGAGCAACACCAATCTACAAGGGTGAGGCGACAGGCCAACCCAGCACACTTATCTGGAAGGCCATTTGGAGACAGGTGGTCCTCAGCTCCCTGAAGCTGTGCAGCAAGAGGCCCACTCTGCAGACTCCTGAAAGCACCAGGATGCAAATACTATGGGCTGTGGCCTCTGTGGAGAGGGAGTCAGGCTCAGAGCTCACATGGGGGGACCCCGAGGAGTCAGATTAACTACTGCTGGCTTTATCTTCAGGCCACCATTCCCAGAAAAAGGCCTTCCACTTCTTTTATGAATAAATAGGACCAGCAGGGGACGTGATGGTTAAAGTATTGGATTCCCAGATGGCCGACCGCAGTTCAAGTCCCGGACCTGGCAGCTTGCTTCCTCTCTCTCTCTCTCTCTCTCTCTCGTCTCTGGTCAAATTAAAATAATAATAATAATAAATAAAATAATTCTTTTGAAAGTGAATAAATAAAACTGCAGAAGTTCGAGGAGCTGGCTGGAGGGGAAGGGACGGAGCCGGCACACGTTAC